CAGGAGCGAGGGTATAACCGGGGAGCCCAGGAAAGATGGTTCGAACCCGGGGATCGGGTGCTGCTGTTACTCCCCTCAGAGGAGTCAAAACTGCTGGCCCGCTGGCAGGGGCCGTATGAGGTATCCCGACGAGTGGGCCCAGTCACCTATGAGGTTCATCAGCCGGACCGGCGAAGAAAAAAACAAATATATCATGTGAACCTCCTCAAACCTTGGCGAGAGCGAGAGGGCATGCTGGTCGCGCCCTACCCGTCGGAGCCCGTGTTAGGTCCTAGGATACCTGACGCCAAGGAGGAGGAGACACCCCATCTCGGGGACACCCTAAGGACCAATGGCGCATAGCCCAGGTGCTCATCGAAGCGTTCGCCAGGACAGGCCGGGCCGAACCTCAGCAATAACGCACACCATCCGGACTCCGCCCGGTCAGGTCGTGCGGGAGGGGAACAGACCTCTTCCCCGACGGATGCGTGACGTCGTGGAACGAGAGGTCCACACCATGTTGGAGCTGGGAGTGATCGAGCGATCCAGGAGTGAGTGGAGGAGCCCGATCGTGTTGGTCCCTAAACCGGACGGAAGCCTTCGGTTTTGCATCGACTTTCGAAAGGTAAACGCTATATCGAAATTTGACGCCTACCCGATGCCACGGACGGATGAGCTGCTGGAGCGCCTGGGAAAAGCCAAGTTCATAACAACCCTCGACCTGACTAAGGGCTATTGGCAAATCCCGCTGGATCGGGAGTCCCAGGAGAAGACAGCTTTCACCACCCCGTCCGGGCTCTTCCACTTCGTGCGCATGCCATTCGGCCTCTATGGGGCACCCGCCACCTTTCAGCGGATGATGGATCGCCTGCTCACCCCCCATCTGGAATATGCCGCAGCTTACCTGGATGACGTGGTCATCTACGGTCGCGACTGGGAGGAACACATAAACCAAGTGGCGGCCGTATTACGAACGCTCCGCGACGCAGGTCTCACGGCCAACCCCAAAAAGTGTAAAATCGGCGCGCAAGAGACCACCTATCTGGGTTATCGGTTGGGGCGCAGGTTAGCCCGGCCCCTGGTGGGGAAGGTAGAGGCCATACGAAGTTACCCCATACCGACCACGAAAAGAAAGGTCCGACAATTTCTGGGACTGGCGGGGTACTACCGCCAATTTGTTCCCCAATTTGCTGGCATAGCAGCGCCGCTCACCTGCGGCGCCGCTCACCTCTCTGCTCACGAAGGACAAACCTCAGAGAGTGAGGTGGGACACAGAGTGTGACTCGGCCTTTCAACAACTTAAAGAAGCCCTGTGTAGCGAGCCCGTTTTGCTTAGCCCAGACTTCGATAAACCTTTTTGTCTACAGACAGACGCCTCCGCCACTGGGCTGGGCGCCGTACTCTCCCAGGAGGTTGGTGGAGAAGAGCATCCGGTGGTTTTTATCAGCCGTAAGCTGTTTCCCCGAGAACGCCAATACTCCGTGATAGAAAGAGAGGCCCTGGCGATCAAATGGGCGGTTGAAGCCCTAAGGTACTACCTGCTAGGGGGTGAGTTTACTCTGTTGACAGACCATGCCCCGCTAAAGTGGCTACAAACTATGCGGGACACCAATAGCCGCCTTATGAGGTGGTATTTAGCCCTTCAACCCTATGTGTTGAGACGGTCTCCAGCAGACCAGGGGCACCGGAGCAGCTTACGAACGGGGCTTTCTCGCCCCGACCTCCGGGGCGAGAGAGCCCCGTTCGTAAGTGCGGATCCGACATAAGTCGGATCCGCGTAAGTCGGGGACTGCCTGTATTGTGCTATCCAAGGTAGCTGCTAAATCATTGCAATGACCCAGGAATTTTTGGCCGTTCCTTCTCTCTTTTTAGATGTGGTTATGTGAAGTCCTGGGAATGTGTACTTTGAGCTGAAGCTTGCCAAAAGCAAATGTGGTGGTGGTGGTGATAGGGACATTAAAATTGCCTGATGGGAATTGCTTATTACTTCCAAAGAACTGCAGAATTCATTGCCCTGCAAACATCCTGGCATCCTGCTGGCCACATCCTAAGCTAGCTCTTCAGCACCTATCTCCACCTTCCTCTTCTGCCCCTGCCCCCTCAGGAGTCGTGGTGCCTCATGGGACATCCAGAACCACTGGAAACCCGTTTATGCTTTGCCATCTCTTTGGCCAGCTCTGCTCAGTCCTTTTTGCAGCAACTTGTACCTTGTGGTGTGCATGCCTTGGCACTTTGGTGTGCAAGCCTTGTGCAAATCAAAGGTCTGCATATATCCTTCTCCCTCTCCCCACACTCCGTATGCATCTGCATTAGGCAAAAACTGGCCTCTAATAAGGAACCAAATGTGTACACAGTAGCCACCGAGAATTTGCATTAGAGCATGTAAGAAACCTGTTAGCTAAATGCTTGAACTGTATCTCAAATAATATTTATAGCATTGGCATATGTTTATGAACATACTTAGCTCTGGGCAGCTCTGGAGACAGTATGTGCTACATTCAGCTTCCTGGTTCCTCAGCAGACATTCGCTCAGGCCTGAACCATTTTTCTGGGACATCAGCTCTTAATTTGATTAACATGTTGCGCACAGAGAAAAGTAAAGATCAGCAACAAAGTGACACAAACAAGAGACAACGCTGACAATGCAAAGAGAAGCAAAACATGAGGCGGATGGGGATGGGTGTTTTAAATGAGTGTTTTGGACACATGCCGTGTACATGCAATAGAGCCATGTAGAAACAGGAAAAGTCCTCCAAGTTTCATGTTGTGCATCACCCACCTCACTGCCTCCTACCTGCCCCCTATTCCTCCCATCACCTCACATTCTTTACTTCCACCCCAGGGGCCAGGAAACATCTGCATCTAATTAGTAGAGCCAGCCTGCAGGGCTCCACTAATTTGCTGCAAGGCCCTTCATGCATGTCAGACCAGGGCTCCTCCAAGTGGGGAAGGGGCTGCAGCTGGCTGGGAACGCCTCTGGCTGATTGAGGGGGGGCTTGGGGCTTCTCCAGGTAGGGGGTCTTGTGGCTGAGGAGGGCCCAGGCAGAAGAGGCAGAGCCAGGGGCTAGGCTCCCCAATAGGGCACTCCATTCGCTGCCATGCTTGAGTGATTTGAAAGGGTCTGGGGCCCCCAGCTGCCACTCCTGCAACAGCAGCGATTGCTGGAGGGCCAGGCCTTTTTAAATCACACAGGCCTCTGGGCAGCTTCACCCTTTGTCATTCTCCCTTCTCCCCCCTCCCCTCCCACCGCCTCCTGTCAGGAGGCTTGACAGGGTTAAAATCTTTATAGCTGCATCTTATCCCAAAATTCTGGTCTTCGTTAAAAGTCTGAAACATGGGGCCTTTTGAACCTAGCTGATTACTCTGCTACATTAGAAAATGTGTGTTGGAAGGAAAGTGGTTTTTGTAACCCTGTGTCCTTGTTCGTTATGCAGTGATGAAAGGAGCCTGTGGTATTACAGTCCACTTTGCAAACACATCGAAGTTTGTCCGTTGTGAAATTGGATCCATAAAGAACAAGATCTGGGATTGTTATAGCTGCATATAAGATCTGAACCAAAAATGGCCACTGTAGATCCATTTCAACACATTACAGTGAGTACATTTGATTTTCCTATGCATGATGCATTGTCTTCTGTAAGCAGTTACAATCAATAACCGTATATTGTTAATATCATCATGAAACTTGAAAGACTCTTCATATAAGTTTGGGTGAATTCAGGGATGAAAATAACTTAAATTTCCTATAGATACTATCTTATCCCAGCCATCCCCCTTGTGGGGAAGCAGGGCAGGAGGCTGGGGGGGAGAGGTTGTGATAGGACAGTATCTGTAAGAAATTTAAGTGTGGGATGGAGTGCGGGGGTTCAGGGAAGGAGGTCGGGGGGGAGGGGGCAAGAGTCAGGGCAGGAGGCTGGTGGTATGGGGGAGTCAGGGCAGGATGAGGGGGAATCCAGGAGTCAGGGCTAAGGATTGGGCCAGTGTAAGGGAGAGGACAGCTCGGAGCTAGGAGTACAGCTATCACACTGCTAAGCTGCCCGATCCCTGGGTCTGGCCAGGGCAATGGGGACCATGCTGCCCAGCCACCCAAGCATCGGGGCTAGATCCGGGGTGCAATATGGCTACGCCGTCCAGGAGAGTGGCAGCCTCCAGAGCCCTACCTCCAGACGTCCAGTCTCTGACCAGCTGAGTGTGCACCAGCTTGCTTTCTCCTTTGGAGGACTTAAGACTAGGTTTGGGAAAATTTTATTTAAAATGAAATTTGATGGAGATCATTGATGTTTTCATCAAATTTTCAAACACTCCTAAAGATACGTCTGCGCTGCAGCAGGGGCTGAACCTTGCAGTCTGGCTAGACAGATGAGCACTAGCTTGGATTGAACTCGTGTTCTACAAATAAAGTGGGTGGGTCTGGCCCATGAAAGTTCATCACCTACTAAACCATCTTGTTAGTCTTTAGAGTGCTACATAGTCCTGTTTTTGTTTCAGCTACAAATAACAGCATGGATGTTGTGACACCAGTAAAGGCTCAGGCTTGTTACCTGAGTCCAGGCCCAGAGGGCTGGGAGGGTCCAAACTCAGGTGGCTAAAGGAGCCTCTGCATCTAACTCACCTTTCAAAATAGTACTTATGCTCCTAAGTCACATAGGTACTGTTCAAATATTCTCCTATACATAAACATAATTATACATAAAACATAGGTGTATCTATAAATTATAATTTCAATGTCTGTTGGAGCCAAGACTCATAAACAGTTTAATTATACGGTGTTTGATAATTTGATAGTTATATTTCCTCCTATTAACATTCTCCTGAATTGATTGTCAGAACCGTGAGCAGAAGAGTTCACCAATTTTCTACAAATGTAACACTAAATATATTTAATTTTCCCTTAAAAGTGATCTTGAGCTGTGTGGTAAATTGAAAATAATTCAATCCCTGAACCAAATTCCGTTGAAGTCAAGGGAAGGCCCTTACTGAATCCTCCCACTTTGTCTACAAATTTAGTCTATATATAATTAAAACATTGTACACTAAAGAGTGGAATCACAAATACTGTCTGGAAGGGAATCCTAACACAAACAGGGTGGGTTCATAAGATCCCAAATTATTTGTAAGTCTGTCTGGAAAACCTATTACAGCAGGAAAAGCAGTGAGTGTTTCGAAGTAGTAACCATTTACTTGTCATAATGTTGAACTTCTGAGTTGCTAAAAATATAGTATCCATATTCCTTGAAATGATCACTTATCTACTGCGTGGTTTTGCCTCCTATTTGTCACTTCCTTAAATGAGTATGCAGCAGCCAACGGACGCCAAGTGTTTTTTTTTTTTTTTTTTTTTTTTTCTTCCCCATGCTGAAGCTTTGTGAAGGCTGTTGTGATGCCAGTCTCAGGTTGGCAGCCAGTGTTGTTTTCTTTGGTTTGTAAGGGGATGGGTTTTATGAATATGTATCATTACGGTCTCCTGGATGGAATGTCAAACCTGTTCAGATATCTGTGACACAGCAGTTTGAAAATTCACAACAAAGCAGGTCCAGTTTAAAGTAACTGAGTAGCTCCTTGAGGTCAGTGGTATTACTCCTGCTTAAAATTAAGCACATGCTTTAGAACCACATTGAATCAGGGCATTGGATTATATTTAATTTACTTGCTCAGAGAAGTTTGATAGGACGGCTGTCATGGGACAGAAATATAAAGGGAAAGTGCAGTTTTTATGACCAAATGTAGTTAAATTGCTCTTGTCCTGTTGTATTCCTGTTCATTGTCAATGAAAGAGTTAATAAGAGTTAAAATGAGATAATTTTCATGACTTTTGGTTGAAATATGACATGTCACAGGCATAATCAAAATCCCGAATTTTGGGAGCAATCTTTTCCTAGGTTTTTTTTATTATTATTATTATTTTTTTTTTTTTAAAGTTCTCTTCTGTTTCATGAAAGCTTCACACAAATAGAAGGGGAAACTGATTGACTCCAGTTATTGAGTATACAGGAAGTTAGTGAAACTTACTGTGCTGTTAGAAACTCGGAAGTTGAAGAAACAAATTTCTTCCCTGTAATCTTTCTTATTACAGTATATTAATGTTTGTGTTGATTAAAAGAATAATAGATAAAATATGTTCAGCCTCAGGCATGGATTTTTAAAGTGTACAGTGTCCCTTTAAAAGAAGGAAACATACTTTATTAAAAGTTCTTTTAAAAAAAACAATCCCTCCTAGCCCAATTATCTGCTTAAATTTCCTATTTGGTAGCAAGGAAGTAAAAATGTTACACAATAGATGCAAGTCAAAACTCTTCGATGTATTTTTTTGTGCAAAGTTGCATCTTGCCTTCAGATTAAATTGTGACTAAGCATTCCCATGTGTGAATGGTGTTAGGCACTTATAAAAAAATAACCTTTTCGATTTGTCAATGGACACAGAAGGTTTTTATTCAGTTCACTTTACAACAAGATTTAAGTGAAATTTGAGCACACTGTTGTGATTCCCAGGATAATGACCATAAAATGAAATGTTACCAAACTAGTTTTTAAAAAAAATAGACTGGTGAGCAGTTGTCACTTAACTTACTTCCTCTCTCTCATTTAACTAAAGAGCTTTTATTGAGGACAGGAAGC